CCATCCCACGTGCATGCGCGTGTATGTGTGTGTGTGCGCTCGCACACACGTACAGGTATCCCAGAAGGTCAGCAGAGGACATCGGATTCCCTGGAGCTAAAGGTTATGGATAGTTGCAAGCTGCCAAGTGTGGATGGAGCTTAGGAAGTGAACTTGGGCCTCCTGCAATAGTAGCAAGCGCTTTTAGTTCTTGAACCATCTCTCCAGCCCTTCCTGGTGATTTCTCTTAGAAATCCACCTGGAGCTCCCTGGTGAGGAAGCGGGGGGGGGGGGGGGGGGGGGGGGGGGTGGGGAGGGGGNGGAGGAGGCTGCATTTGTTGTTTTGGGAGACCCTCTTGGCGGTCTTAACAACCCCCAACCCCACCACACTTGTCGGTCCCTTGCTTCAGGCTGAGAAGACCTTCTTGACCTAGGAATGGTGCACTCAACCTTCACCTTAGCCCATTTGCGATTCCCTTCAAGGATCACAGGGATGGGCCAATCAGAACCAAAGACCCCTGGGGAACTTGGTTGGGATTATTAGGACCAAAGTACTCTCTACCCCTAGGACTTTGAACCTGAGGCCTTTTGGCTGTCTTGTCAGCATAAAGGAGAAGGCTACCCAAGGAAGGGGAGCAGGAGGTGGAGAGGGAGAAGCTGGTCCTGGCCTTTTCATCTTTAATGATGGACATGGAGTTGCTTGGATTTGCCTCCTGTTGCAACACAGACTCCTGGCTATTGTGTCCAGCGATGAGAAGAAAGTTCCTTAAGGCTGGCTTCTGGGCTCTGTCTGGGGACCCCAAGAGGTCATGGCACGGCCCTCTGCTCCAGCACTGATGAATGGCACCTGAGTTGCCCTGTGCCCCTGGCCTGCACATCCTATGAACAGTGCTGGCATCTAAGGTCTGGGGGAGTAGAATGAGAACCATCTGGACTACTGATGGAAGCCTTAGCCCTGGGGCAGGGCTAGGTCTCTGGGAGTGGACACTGAGCCCCAGGCCAAGGGTTTGTGAGGTGGGGCTTCAGGCTCCTGCTAGATGACTCCGAGGGACCCTTATATTCTGAGTCACTAAGTTATGGGGTAAGCGAGGGCATGACTAGATTTTCTTTTTCCTGAGGGAGTAATCCCAGTTTGGGGAGGAGACCCAAACTCACCTCTTGAACCCTTTGGGAAAGTTGCTGGAAACATTCGAACCAGTGAGGAGGGAGTGGCAGGTGGGCAGGAATTGCTGGGAAGGAATACTCCCCCAGGTCTGGGAAATGCCCGGATGTGGTCTGAAGGGGCACCACTGAGCGCCTTGGGAAGGATGAGGAATGAGGACTAGAATGTTCCAGCATGTTCTGTGATGGTACCTTAGGGAAATGTCCCTAGCTCATCTCCTAGATGGCAGTAGGGTTGGAAGAGGCCAAAGCTGGGTGGAGTATGATTGGAAATGGGGATTACTTCCTGGGCCTGAGAGTTCTCACTCTGCACCTGGAGCTGATGATAAGGGCCTGGATTGAGGCAGTGTACGGGAGTTCTCCGGGGCATATGCTGGGAAGGCCTGACCACTTTGAAGGAGCTGGGCTGAGAGCTGGACCCTAGGCACAGGCCAGGCAGGATAGCAGACAAGGTGTCTGGTGTGGCTGAGAAGGGTCAGAGGGAGGACAAGAAGGCTGCAGCAGGGACCTAAAAGGGACAGGAGGTTGAAGAAGTAGTCTTCCTTGTCTCCCGAGGCCCAGGGGCCCAGGCTTCTGCCCACCAGCTGCCACAGGCTGACGTGGGTCTGCTTCCCATTATCAGAGGAGTTGCTTCTTTCAGCCATATGGTCAGCAGACCCTCGGCTGGAGCACCACAGAAAATGTCTTCTGTGACCCCAGCCCTGGTCCAGCCCCTTCTTCCCCTGGAGCTCCAGCACAGGCCCAGGGTCTCCCATGGCTCTCTCTGCTGGATGCAGAGGACTTAGGTTTCAAGTCTTGTCTCTCTTTGCCCATTGACTGACAGAGGGAGAGAGGGAGGCCTGAGGGAAGGGGCTGAGACAACTGGGCCTTCAAAGATGAAGGCATGAGACAGACTCTGGGCTCTGGATTTAGAGGAGAAGTGCCCTGTGCCCTGGGAATGTCAGGAGGCATGTCGGAAGTGAGGACTATAGCCTAGGTCCAAGGACACTGAGGACACAGACAGAAGCTAAGGGGTCCCCCTTTGTCCTCTGAAACCCCTGAGGACTTGGGGTGAGTTCCTGCTTTGGAGATCTAAATCCCTACAGCTGAGCCCTGTGCTGCCGCAGCCCCATGCAGTAGCCACTAGGCATTTGTGTCATTGACATTTGACCTGTGGCTGGTCTAACATCAGGTGTGGAGGAAGAATAAAGACACACAGGAGCTGGGTGTGGTGGCGTTCACCTTTAATCCCAGCACTTGACAGGTCGAGTCAGGAAGATCTACTAGCCTAGTCTACATAGCAAGTTTCAGGGCAGCCTGGACTATAAAGAGAAACTCTGGTCTCAAAAAAAAAAAAAAAAAAAAAAAAAAAAAAAGGAAAAGAAAAAAAAAAAACCACGTAGGATTGAGACAACTAAGAGGGCCATAAAAAAAAAAGATATCTAAAATGTTTCATGAACAATTTTAAATCTTGATCACTTGTTGAAATAATATTTATATATCTATTGGGCTAATCCATTGGTAGAATCTGCTGTTTCTTTTATTTGTGAAAGGTGCCCACTAAAAAGCTTCCGAGTCCACATGGGTCTCTTGTGTTCTGTGGGTACTGGACGGAGTGAACCCATCACTTACTGAGTGTAATCCAACAATATTCCAGGCAGGGTGCTAAGCACACGCCAGTGAGCAGGACCAGAGCCTGGCTCTGGTTTCCCGGGATTTATAGTAATCGAATAATCACTCAGACGAGTGCCTGGGTACAAAGAGGTCTTTAGCGGAGTGAAGAAGAAGACGGACCGTGGGTTTTTCTGAAGCTGGAACCAAGAAACTTGATTTGGAACTGGGTGTGGTGACGCATGCCTGTAATCCCAGTCTTGGGGTGTGGAGGCAGGAGGATCAGGAGTTGAAGGCTAGTCTTGGTTATTTATGGAAGTTCAGACCAGTCTGGGTTATAGGAAACCCTGTCAAAAACAATGCATATTAAAGAAACAAGCAACGCACACCACGAGAGACAGACAGACACATAGACAGACAGACAGAAAAACTAATTTGGACCCAGGGAACCAGTCAGCCTTCCCTAAAGATTCTCTAGACTGAGGTACCTTGGTAAAGAATGTTCTAGATAGGACAGCGCACACAGTGGCCCTGTGGCTAAAGGAAATCACAGATTTCAGAATTCTGAGGCGTCTGAGAGGCACACAGACAGTAAGGTCAACTGTTGGATCAAAGCAGTGAGTCTGGGGTGTTGCTCACACAGCCCCACAGGACTTCAGGAAGCATGGGGAAGCTGACTGTAGAGATTTAACTCTTAGAGTGGAGGCAGGACGGGTGGAAAGGGCAGAGGTCACACCAAGTCTTCCCCCCCAAATGCTGGGAAGGGATGGGGAATGTTTTAAATCCTCCACAGCTTCCAGAGTCCTAAGAATATAGTCCAGACCCCTTCAACGGACTCCACAGGAACCCTGGCCCCTGGCTGGCCCTCCTTCTTTCCCTCCCCTCCTTTTCTGGGCTCGAGGCTCCAGTGTTTCTCCAAGCTGGCCTCTGTTCTCTCTCCTCCCAGGCAGGCTACCTCATGCATCCACAAGGGCCAGCTTCCACGTCCCTTCCCTGACCTCCCTGGGGCTGGCCTGACAAGGTCTCCACTTATACTTTCTGTACCCCCAGGGCTGCCTGCTGCCGTTTTCTGAATAAAGTGGTCACCGAGGAGGGGACCTGTGCCCCTCTTTATTCCCACAAGACAGAACCTGCATTTTTTCCACTAGAGGCACCTTTAGGAGGAAGATGGTATTTCTTTCATCAGAATGGAGAGTCCCCTAAGAGCAGATATGTTTCTCTCATAGTAGGAATTCATTCCTACTGTGGATAGTCGGCCCATAGTAGGAAGCTGACCCCCAGCCTGAGCCCTTCTTCTCCATCAGGCGGACTGTTTCCCCCATTACTCCGAGGCTTTGAGTGCCAAAATCATTTCTCCCACCTCCTCTGTGTCTCTCCTCTCCACCACCATGTTGTCTTCCTTGTGGATCCTGTCAGTGGGGGTGAGACACAGGATGCTCCTGTCTCCCTGAATCTGACTCTTGGCTGGGCCCTGCTCCCTGGGCCTGGAAATTTGGAAGGTTTGCTGACCCTGCTGGCCCTGCTCCCTGGGCCTGGAAATCTGGAAGGTTTGCTTGCTGTTCTTCCTAGAAGAGCAAATCCTTCCCCTGCCTTCCAGGGTGGCCGCAAGCCACTCCCTACTAGAAGACCTGGATGATGGGCCAGTAAGGGATGGGCAGTTCTGACCACCTGCCTCACCAGCCTCAGAGGGGGCACAGCCAGGAGTCCTACAGGCTCCCAAGTCAGGCAGGCAAGAGCTCTGGTTAGGATCTGTCCATAGAAGTCTCCAGGGAGGGGCTTGCCTGACTCCTGGCCAGGCCAGCCAGTCTCCTGCTGCGCCATCTGGACAGAGGTTCTGTGTGATCTTGTGTATAAGTACGCTTGTGTGTCTCACAGGCCATGTGGGTGGCTGGGAGCTGCGGGGTCATGACCTGGCCCTCCTATTGAGCCTCTGGCTCCCCTGTGGTCAGTTTCACTTCTGACATCTGGTCAAGTTCACAGCTGCCCAGCTTCCTGCATGGCGTTTTTTTTTTTCTTTCCCTTTCTGAGATCTGGGAGCAGAGGACCCCCACTATTTCCCCCACCCACTTCATGACCACACATATAAAGTTGCTGGATTCTTGTCAAAACTTACAGAAGACTGGACAGGAACTTATAACATTGGGAATTATAGGGGTGGGAGTTTGGAGGGGAGGGACCCTGATCTACACATTCAATCCCAGATAACGAAAAATGCGTGTTTCCAGAAAATCTCTTGGCAACATTTTTTCTTTCTTTTTTGTTTTTTTTTTAATTTTTTTTTGTTTTTTTTTGCTATTTAATGTCCATCACTTATATTTTATGTGTAGGTTTCGGGAGGGCCCAAGAAATGCTTACACAGGATGCAAGGGGGAGGTGATGGGGAGGTGGACTGAGGGGGTCTGGAGCTGGAAGCTGCCAGCTAGAGGGTCAACGGTTCCCTCCTGACCCAAAGTAAGGCAGGAGAGACTCCAGAACCAAACACATGCTAAATTGCACTTGCAGCTCCCCACTGCTCCCCAACTTCTGGGGAGGAAAATAAATACACGAAGAATGTACCACTCCCCAGGTGCCTGGGGCAGGCCAGCAGGTGGGGTTCCTCCGCTCATTGCAGATTGAGGTCCATAAAAATGCCACCCGTGTGCAGTGCTCCTAGTGTCTTCTCAGGGTTTGGAGGACCCTGGGTGGGGAGGGGTGGTGGTCAGTCTGTGCATACCCTGCCTAGGGCTCCTTCATGCTAAATAGAGGGGCAGCCTACTCATTCCAACAGCAAGCAAAACAGAACAGGCCAGGGAGGGGGGAAAACGCCACTGAGACCTCATGCCCCTTCCTGGCGGTGCCTAGGAAACCAGTCCTTTGCAGAGGCCTTGAAACTTAGGAGAAACCTGCCACAGACCGCGGGCCAGCATCTGTTTTGTTCTTGATTCTTGCCGCGTTCTCCCATCAGCCTGCTTTTCTTCACCATAGCCTTCTGGGTGCAGCCAAACTCAGACAGACTTTGAGAAGGGGAGGAGTGAGAGCATTCCTCCACGCACGCACGGGGCCGTTGGAAGACAGACGCCAGCTCAGACACAGCAGACCTTGGCCTGCCAAACCCGGGGGCGAGGAAGACAGCCCCCATGGAGCTCAGCTCAGTTCCCTTCCATGCTTTTCTGGCAGTGACCCCCAGCAGGATCTAGTCTCAGCCCAAAAAAGAGCCATGGAAAAAGTAAGCTATCTTTGTGTGTGTGTGTGTGTGTGTGTGTGTGTGTGTGTGTGTGTGTGTGTGTGTTGGGATTGTGGAGTGGGAGTCCTTGGTCCCTGACCCCTAGGGCTGATTCTAGGGGCCAATGTTGGCTCCAGGCCTATGCCAAGAATGAGGACACTAACAGATGTACCGTTCGGCAAATGCCATTTGGGTAAGCCTGACAGAGACAGAGGAAGGCAACACCCCACTCCCCAAGCCCTTAACCTGACTCCAGCAGGGTGGGCCAATGGACCAGGTCTTGGGCAAACAGTTCCTCTGCACAAGGGTTGAGTAGGGGGCCTGGAAGTGGTAGAGGGTGGGCAGACTTGGCTTCCAGACATGTACCTGAAAGTCACTCCGTCCCTGACATCAGGCACTCCGGATGCCCTCATTCAGAGAGGAGGATGTCAGCCTACATTTGACATCCCTACTGCTGGGTGGCCTGGGCCAGTCCCTGCCTCTCCTGTGAGTAAGAGGGCCATGTGGGCTGGCTTTCAGCTCAGATGAACCTGTATTCTTCTTCACCTTTGGCCAGAGTGGAGGAGGGAAGGACTAAGGAAGGTCTTAGCCAACCACAGTGCTCCCTGTTCTCCAGTTCACAGTGTGGAGTCCACGACTCTGGTTCTTCAGTGCTGCTCGAGTCTCTGAGGTGCCCCTATTACCATCTGTGGTGTCAAAACCCCGGCTCTGACACAGCTAAGGTGTAGGAAAGGGAGGAAAGGCCTGAGTTGGTAATTGGGGCAGCACAGGCTTGGGGTGGTCCTGTCTCTCACTGGAGAGGAAGTGTAGTCAGATGCAAGGGCTCCCTCAGGGACAGCAACAGGGCTACGGTGTGGGGAGCAGGGCTCGGAGGCCCTGCACAGACTGTTGGGCTACCCCAGGGGAGGGGGACGTCTCTGGGGGGGCTGGCTAGAGCATCAGTTGTTGGAATGTGGGGCAGGACAGGGGCTCCCGGTCTGTGAGCTCACACTGGGGATGTGGCCGTGGATTCGCTGCACAGGCTCTCCACGATGTCAGCTCTCTGGATGCGACGCAGGGCGGCTAAGAGGGCGTCGAGTGTTGCGCTGTCTTGGGCACCCCAGCTGGCCATCAGGGCTCGGACCGGGCAGGTCTCATGGGTGAAGGAGTCTATGTGCTCAGGCTGGTAGCCCAGCTCGCCTGCCAGATGTCGCCAGGTGTCCCCCGCGGAGCCTTTGAGCAGCTTCTCTACCTCCTCACGCTTGGTCAGGGGCAGGCTACTGTAGAGGTTGCCGTCACCCTTGAGGGCTGCAGAGGAGGGACAAGAGCACCCTTCAGTTCTTGACCTTTGACCCTCTTTCCTGCAGTGAGCCCAGAGAGTTGGGCCAAGGCAAGCTCCCCAAGATGAGGTCCTAGATAAGGCCTGGGTGGGAGGGGCCTGGACCTTGCTGACTCATGGTCTCTTCCTCACCCTCAGCTTCCGCATCATCTTTTCCACTAGCGTCCCCAACCCCCCAGCAATCATCCAAACAGACAGGGGACTGGGCTCTTCAGCCCCAGACAACTGCAGCAAGTGTCCTAAAGCCTGGCTATGGGCTGCCAATTACCGTCCACACTTAACCACTTGTTTCCTAGAAGAGCGGGCAGGAGGCTAATTGCAGCTACTTTGGGCAGTAATTAACCCCCAGGGGGGACAATTAGCCTGATGAGTCTAGATGCTCCAACTTGTAAAAGCCTCCTTTCCCCCAAGTCACCCCAGGGGAAAACATTCCCTTCCCCCACATCTCCCACCTCGCCCAGCCTCTAGGACCCTGCTACCCTGCTAGTCCCTTCAATGGTAGCTAAACCCTAAACCCCCAGGCTTTGGCCTTCCCACTCACCCTGGCCTGAGGCAGTTTGTGTATGGGTCTGCTGGTCGTGCAGGCTCTGGCTGTCCACAGAGATGCCACTGTCGCTGTGGAGTTTTTCTCCCTCAGGTGGGGGCGTCTGGTTCACTGGTCGGCTGTTGGCTCCTTGTTTGTTTTGCTTACAGCTGTTCCACCTGGAACCCAGGGGCAGGCCAGGTCTTGGGATGAGGGTCAGCCAATGCAACCAACATATCTGTGTCCATGGTCCAGGCCAGGGCCATGGTAGGTGCCCTCTGAAGTATCTAAGGAGCTTTTTGTTTTATATCAGTGGTTCTCAATCTTCCTAAGGCTGCGACCCTTTAATACAGTTCTTCATGTTGTGGTGACCCCCCCCAACCATAAAATTATTTCCATTGCTACTTCATAACTAATTTCGGTGTTGTTATGAATCATAATTATAAGTTTCTGAGATACAGATGGTCTTAGGTGACCCTTGTGAAATGGTTGGTCAACCCCAAGGGGTCTAGACCCATAGGTTGAGAACCTCTTCTTTACAAAAGGCTGGGAAGTGATAAGGTGCCTATTTCTGCACACACATACACACACACGCATGCACGCACGCATGCACACACATGCACATATGCATATATGCACACATACATACACATACACTGAGAGCTTTATGGGGTAGAAGAACTTGGTAAGCATTCAGTAAAAGTTGGCAGATCAAACAGTGCATAAATAGATGACTTCCTAGAAATTCCACTTTTCCCAGCTGACCCTTCTAGAATAATCCCACATGTGAACAGTAATCACAATACACATTTCCTTGGCAATTATAAGCAATAACAAAAAAAAACTGAAAATAAACCAAACGTCCATCAAGAGAGGACTGGCTAACTGCATTACGGTCCAGGCATGTTGTTGAATGAGAGGCTACAAAAGATCAGGTAATCTGTTCTGAGAAAACCTCTCCTGCCGGGGATTAAGAGGGGAAGGTGCCCAGTGTGTTCCCACTGAGTCTTAGAAAAGTTCTCCATGCCTACATATGATTATAAAAAGCTAACGTGAGTGCTTCTAAAACAACAACAACACTATGAACAGCTGGGAAATTTTATCCCAAAGAGATTTCCCACAAGATAGGTAGGATTTGAGGAGCTAAAGCGAGGCTTTTACTTCTCACTTTAGAAGATATTGGTCTTGGGACTGCGGCTACTGCTCCCTGGCAGCAAGCTTGCTCTGCATGCTCACAGATCTGGATTCCATCCCCCGCACAAAACAAATTTGGTCTTGTTTGCATTTGCTTTTAAAAAGCGTGTATGACTTTGATGAATTAAAAACAAAACACACAAGAAAAGAACAGGACAAGCATTTAAAGTTGAAAATGCCTTCTGGGGGTTTTTCTGTCTTGAAATCCTTGATGTGGGTACCACAGGAGCCCAAGGGTGACATGGAAGTTGGAGGATGACATGAAAGGAAGGGAAGAGACACACAAATACCCAGGAGACTGTGGGGTGAGAGGGATGGAAGCAGCCAGAGGTGGCAGGAGTTAGCCTGGAAGTGGGGAGGGGCTGGAACCAGGACAGGAAAGGGAACCCTCTTCTATCACTCCCCCCAACCCACCACACTCGGAGAGTCAGGAGTGAGATGGTGAGCGAGGATGGGTTTAGGGTTGAATTTTAAAAGTGTGTGTGTTTTCAGGACAAATCTCTCCTCCTTCCTCACTGTGTCCCCTCTTACCTCTTGAAAGCAATGTAGGCCACAAGGCCCACAACCACAGCAGCCAAGATGGAGCAATAGACAGGAATGAGGTTGTCAGTGGTGCCTCGGGTCACTACAGGCTGGGAGCTGCCCATCACAGTGGTCACCATATCTGCCACTGTGCTGGCTATGAGGTCTTGATCTGGAGGTGCCTCAGGTTCCTGGGTGCTGGGGGCCGTGCTGTCGGAGCCCTCTGGGGGCGTAGACCTTGTGATCCATCGGTCAGGGATTTCTGAGGAACAGGACCACAAGAGTTAGAACCTATCCAGGCCTTCCCCTTCTCTCTGACACCCCACTGTTTCATCATGAGCCTCCAACCCCTGACTCCATGCACACCGGACCAGGCATGGAATTGGGGACTGGGACTGTGCACACGAGTCAGGTTAGTGGAGAAGAGCAAAGGCTACATGACAGGAGACTTTTGTCAGTATGGGACCTTGATTTCTCCATCTAGAAAATGGACTCTCTGAAAAGAAATGGTCTCTAAGCAAAATTTTGGCTTGGAAGATGGAACCAGAATTCTAGTCTCTGCCCAGCATCCAGGCATGAGGCAAACACACCTAGAAGTCTGAGCTGTAGGGACGCTTCAAGCTGGAGCACTGCCTCAATTGCTTAGAGGGATGTAACTTCTCTGGGTGGTGACCACAGCCCTCTGGAAGGATGTGGCACTTAGGTACCCGACCAGAGACGCTGCCCTGCAGGTGGCACTCAGCCCTCTTTCTCAGATGCTCCAGGCTCTAGGCTGGCACTAGAGGAGGAGAGTATAGCTGACTTGCTTCTTCCCAGCCAGTCCTTGTCCTGTGGCCAGCATGTTTCTTGTGCTGTCTGACCCCCAAACAGTCTAGCCCTGGCACCTAGAGAAGTCTGGGTCAGACGGCTGGCACCCTTGTTGGCAGGAAGCAGACATCTAGTAGAGGGAGGATCTATGAAGTAGGCACTGCCTACTGCCTCAGAAGGAGCAATTCTGTGCCTGGCCACCCATCTAGGCTTGCTCATGCCATTCGGGCATTGCCAGCCTTCCTGGCAGAGGCCCCAACTCCTCCTGGCACTAGTGGGTGGGATTTTCCATTCTGCCACCCAGCCAGAGGCAGAGCTAGGGGTTGTAGGCTCTGGATGATGGCCTGGGGGATACTTGTCTGGGCAAAGCAGCCTGTCCCATCCCTTCTCACTTCCCACGCTTGGGGCAGGGAGGGAAAGCAGACAGGGCATGCTAGTGGGGTTAAGGGGAGGGCACCTTGCTACCCAGCTCTGCCCTGCCCAGACTACACTATGCCCACCCAAGCTGGAGTTGAAGCTACCCACTAGTCCTCTGAGCCTTAGCTCAAGACAGAGATGCTTCAAAGGCCCCATTTTCAGCACCTTCTGAGGGGGAAGGCCTCCAGATGTGAGTCTGGAATCCATCTGGCTGGCAGTAAGGAGAAGGTTGCCATCTGCTGCCCAGTCCCACCCTCCCCCCATCCCAGGACTGGACAGAGCTGGAAGCTCTGGAAGCTGGAGCGGGGTAGGAAGTGTAAGACGCAGTTCTGTCTGGGTGTTGGACCCTAGAGGGCCTTTTTGTGCTTTGCTAGGGTAACAGGGCAGGCTGGGGGTACAGCCTGAGCCCCAAGGCTGCAGCTATGACTCCGTTCAGATTGACAGCCCTGACCCTGAGGCTGATGTGGGTGAGCGAGGGATGTAGAAATGAAGGAGCCTCGAGGAAGGACTGAAAACAGTGTCAAGTGTCCAGGACACCTTCCCTCACCCCCTCCAGCCTCTCTAATGGGGGTGGAGACGAGATCCAGATGTGGCCCTGTCCCCTAGCATTCCAACCCACTAAGCCCTTGGCAGGTCCTGACAGCCATTTCCGGAATGAGCGCTATCAGGAGGAAGAGGGAGCAGGTGACCCCTCCTAAACTTCAATGTGGTGAGGGGGCCGGGCGTCTGCCCCAAGGCTGCGTGAGTCACCATGTTGACACCTGAAATGTATATGCAGAAAAGTATGCTACATTGGACAAGAGTGGGAGGGGGGCTGCCAACTCAAGAATCAAATTCCATTTCCTGAAAGGGTTGCTTGGCCTCAGGGCTAACATTTAACCCTTCAGAGGTCGGAGCCGAAAGAACATAGGGATAAGCGTTCCTCAGGGGTGCCTTCTGCCGAGATTGCTGGGAAAGTAGGGTGGCATCTGGGAGGAAATACTTCTCTAAACAGTGGGGCCCATTCCTCTTCCAACCAGGCCGTCCTCTAGCTCTAATCACAGCCCTGACCCTGAACCCCACTGTCCACGGAACTGCTGCCTGGCTGCTGAAGCTCTCTCCCCCGCTCAGCCTAGCTTCTGAGGCCACATGCCTGTCTTGGCCCATGAAAATCTCTACCAGAGCCACAAGGGGCCCATGCCCCATTCCTCTCCATCTATTCAGTAAAAACACTGCAAACATATTTAGCTTACCAGCCTTCTCCACTCTGCTACTTGAGCAAGCCCAAGTCTGGGTATGGGGGAGGCTCTGCCTGGTTGTCAGGAGCCCCCTCCGCCCCAAGGACAGGGGATCTCTATCTGTATCTTCTGCTCAACTAAAGGCTGACGGAAAGCGGAACCGCTGCCTCCATCAGAGCGGACAATCTCCAAAGCTATCTTCTCCCTCCAGGAACTAGGGGCTCGGCTGTGGTGCCCCCCCTCATTGAACCAGTGCCAAGGGCTATCCCTCTCCAGCAAAACCAGGGACTCCCTGAAGACGGCACTCTTGCCTGCTCAGTGTGAGCACACCCGAGGTTAGGGTCTATGGGCATGGCCACAAGCTGGTGGACAGAATGGGAAAGCGCCACCAGCTTGCCTCCCAGTGCCCTCTGAGATGAACACTACCAACCAGTGACCATGGTGGCTGTGCTCTGGCTCCCAGGTGCCTCCTCTCCCAGGATCCCCCATCTCCTTGAGGTGAGCTATCAGGATAAGGCAGGCCCACCCAGCTCCTACAGCCCCCAGTAGACAAGAGCCTTCCAAGCATACCCCACCTTATCCTACCCTCTCCCCCAACCCATAATTACCACTCTCTTTTGTCCACAGAACTACTTCCCTCATTACCAGACCAGTTACTACAGCCAACTCTGTCTCACTAACTGCGGCGATGCCTGCACCTCACACACACACACACACACACACACACACACACACACACACACACACACTATGAGAAGAATGTGCAGTCTGCCCCCAACAACCCTATGGCCATCAAAAGCAGGTCCGGAGCCAAGCGGAACCTCCCTGATGTCACTCTGAGCTGAATTGATGTGGGATTGCTACCGCCATTATCACCACCAGCATCTGGCCTCATAGCTGAAGGGTCCTCACTCCTGTAGGTCACCAGGCCCACTCCAGCTCAGAAAACCTGCCTCAGGTCCGAAGGAGGCCTGCTTCAGACTCTGGCATCTATGGCTCCTCTCAGATGCCGTTTGCCACCCACGTAATCTCTGGAAGAGGAGTTAGGAAGACTTCTTCCAGTGAACACTGAGCCGGGCTTTCCCAACGTCAGTCCAAAGAAGGAGTTAGTGAAAAGGGTTTTGCGCTGAAGTCGAATCTGGAAGCACCACTTCTGTTCCCTTATCAAGAGGGAACTAAGAGGGTGCTACCAGGTCAAGGCCCGCCGGGGTTCTTATGACCCCTAGAGGGCGCCCTTCCTCACAAATCCAGCCCCGCGCCCCCAAATCACCTAGCCAGGAACTATACTCACCCTCGCACTCGGCATCAGCCCAGGGCTTGCACTCCCGTAACTCACGCTCAGTGTCCTCGCACACCGTGCAGGGCAGGCACGGATCCACGTGGTTGGCTTCGTCTGAGTATGTGCCCTCTGGGCACTCTTCACACACCGTGTTCTGTTTGTCCTGGCAGGAGAACACGAGTCCCGAGCCCACCTCGCACACGCTGCACGCCTCGCAGCGGCCAGTCTCCTCGTCCTGGTAGTAGCCATAGGCACAGCGGCACACTGCATCATCTGCCTCGACACAGGGAGCCGACATGCTCTGCAGGCCCAGGCATTCGGTGCACGGCTTGCATGGCTCGGTGGCGCTCACCACATCAGAGAATGTCACACCTGAGGACACAGGCACAGATGGGGAAGCATCAGCCTCAGAACTTAGTCACTTGGGAGGAAGAGCCTCTCCTGAGCTGTCCCTTCAGTTCTCTGACCCAGTACACAGGGGCCGGCCGATTCCAAGCTCACTTTGGCCTCACTCTGAAGTAGGGGATGTGAACCCTGGAAACTCAGAGTAGTTTTGGGGGGATGGTATTTGCCTGCTGAGAAGAGAGCAGGGAAGGAGGGAAGAGGCAGAGCCAGCTCTCAGTCCCTTCCATCCTAGGGAGAGAACTTCGTACCAACTACAGGAGGAGCTGTATTTGCTGGGGTGTTGATGAAGCTGAGAAGCAGGGAAGGAGGGGATGCTTTGCATGTGGGGGCGAAGACAGAGAGTATAGGTGTGGAGAATGGGGACCTACAGTGAGCTTCCACGGTCTAAAGGCACCAAGGGTCATATCCTGGGAAGTGTGGGTACGGTGGTGAGGGAGACAGATCTGCTTCAAAACTCACATCCATAACTTATTAAATCTGTGAGCTAAACCTTTCTGAACATTTTCCTTTCTCTGTGAAACAGAAAATAATAACCAGGTATGGCAGGGTACAGGAGGATCGTGAATTCAAGGCCAACCTGCCCTACAGAGTGATATTTGAGGTTAGCCTGGTCAACACAGTGAGACCCTGTCTCAAAACTAAATAAATCAGTAACATCCCCACCCCATAGGGTTCTGATGGAGAATACGTGGCAGGCTCCACGGATGAGCGGTAATAAGGACTTCCGTGGTTGAGATACAGCCAGATAGCAGAAAGCACCTGTCTGGCGGGACATCTGATCTCTTCAAATGAGAGGGTGCAGATACGAGGGTGGGGTGGGGGCTAGGCACACTGGATGGAAAGAGCAAGCCGGCTCCTGGGAAACACACAGAAATTAGCCGGAAGACCTCTGGGAGCAGGTTTTGGATGGTGTGAAAACTGTGGTCTTTTCTGGCAGAGCATGAAGGCAGGGGCTTAATAGGCTTCCTAGTGGAAACGTTTTGTGAGGATGGAGGGAAAGCCCGCTGGGGTCTCCAGCCCATAAAGTAGGCTCATAAAGGCAGCTTGTTAACACAGCTGGAGAAGAGTGTGGCGGGGACCCAAGGGGGAGGGCAGAGGAAGGGAGTAAGGAGGGGAGGCTGCTGCAGCCCCCTCTGAGCTGCCCTTGGTTCCTGCTGACCTTTCTCTCCCCTAATACCTGACATGGTCCTCCCCTGAGCTCTGAAGCCACCGGCTGCTGAAGAAGGATGCCTTGGGGTGGGGAGCATGGCCTAGGGCGTCTACATCTGCCTTGGGAGAGAGATTCTGAAGCCAAGGAAGGTCAGGTACCACCTTCCAAGGGTGCAGAGCCTTCCCATCTGGCCCAGGGGTCCAACTGCTGGGGAGAAGGTTACAAAAGTCATAACTACAGTGATAGAAATACATAGGTTTGAGAACACTAAGGAGTGGGGGTGCTTGAAGGTGGGACAGGCTCGGGAGGTGGCATGCAGAGGTAAGACTAGGCTCACAGGTAGTCTCAGAGTCCCCAGCTCTGTATTCTGTTACCAGCAGCCCTTCTAGTGGGGACAGAGTGCCAGGCAGATGCAGGATCCTACTGGGGCAGCAGCAGAGCAATGAGGTACCAAGCAGCAGAGACCAAGACTCCTGGTCCCACGGGACACAGAACTCACAAGAGAATGAGAACAGAGCTGTCATCCTCCTGTCCCTGTTCTCCACCACTCCCGGAAGATGGGATTGTTTCCTTCTGAGGGAAATGCCAGGCAGTTCCCCTCTGCTGCTCCCACCTGGTGCCATCCCATCGTAAAAGGGCATCCTTGTGCTCCAGCCCCTGTCCTTCCTGGCATCAGAAAGCTACAGAGCAGTGACCTAGAGGAGGGGCAGTTGTGCCCTCCCAGGATCCCCCAAGGTCAGTTTCCAGGGCAGCCAGGATTTGATCCTCCTTCCCCTCCCCCCAAACCCACAGAGGGTAGGCTGCAACCATTGATCTTGCAATGCAGAAGGTATTTTTAGCTGGGCTAAGCAGCAGCTTCTTCTTCTTGCCTGGCCACACTCTTCCACTGGCCTCTCTGCTTGGGGGATCCCCCATCAGGTCCCCCTCCTCCACCTGCACACTCCATTTCCTCAGCATCCCTCTGCCTTTTATATCATCTCCTGCTCACTTGTAGTGACCATACAGAGGTTTGCAGGGGACTTGTCGGGAGGCGGAACACTGGCAAGCGCTGTTCCGCACATGCTACACCTTCCCCCTTTGCCAGCCTGTACTCACTGTCCAGACAGGGTTCACACACGGTCTGGTTGGCTCCACAAGGCTGGGCCACGCCTTCACCCAAGTTGCAGGCTTTGCAGCATTCTCCGCTATGGGTGTACAAGCCCGTGGAACATGTCCCCTCGGCACCTCCAAGGGACACCTAGGTGGAAGAAGATCAGAGGGTCAGTCTGACAGGAGAAGGGGGGGTGGTATCTTCCAGGGGATCAAATGCCTCCCTCTTAATACCTTCTATTGGAACCACCTGGGCTGGGATGAGCTCACCCGGGAGGCATTAGGAGGATCAAAGCTGGCAGGAAGAGAGGCTGAGGGGGGACAGTGCGCCCTTGACTGCTGCTGGGGTGTGAGGTCACAGCCTCGGTGGCTAACCTTCTGCAAAGTTCACCTTGGGGTTACAGCCCCTCATGGAGCCCTGAGGATACACCACATGGGGAGGGCAGCCTGGGACCGACTTCCAGAATGACTGGACAGGTTGCAGCTTGCTCAGGGCTCCTGGCCAAGGGGGCCAGCGGAGCTGAAATCTGGCCCATACTCTGTTTGCTAAGCCTCACACCTGCAGGGCTATGATTATGCAGAGGCAGGGCCTTTTCCTAACAAAGGGGGCAGGGTCCTTCTCCGGGTCTCATTTCACATATTAAATGTCAAAAGGGAGTTGTCTATGTCCTAGAGGTCTGGGTCTTGGGTTCAAATCTTGACTCTGTACTGGAGGCTTCTGGCCTGCCCTGGTTTCCTTTTGGAGTTTTTCACCTCCCTGCAGATGAAGACAGTGACATCTTGGTACCAGGGCAAAGGACAGGCTGATGAGCAAGTCTGGCGCCAAGACAGGGAGAAAGGGACGCCTGTGCCTGTTATCAGTAGCTGCTCCCACGATCCAGCAACTCTGTTCCACCAGAGTTGACTTCCAGTCTCTAGCCTGACTCCATCCCCTCCCCTCCCCTCCCCTCCCATGTGGCCCCTGGGAACAGAGCTGGAACAGGGGGAAAGGGGAATCAAATTCCTACCACTAAAGCATCTTTGCTCATGATGGAACGACTTAGCACCAGATTTCCCCAGAGGGAGGGGCTGCGAGAGTCTCGCTTTGTTTCTGTTCCTTAAAGAACAACCTTAATGTCTAATAAAACTCCAAAGCCTTCTCTGCAGGCTCCAGACCTTGCACACACCCCCCCCCCTCTGATGCTCAGCAATTTGGGCTCTTGTCGTGAGACCAGGGAGGTTTACAAGCTTGCTCGGCATTCCCCTCCAGCTTCCATGGCATTCCCCTCCAGCTTCCATGCTGGACAGATCTTTGCCAAGACACCAAAACCTACTGTGTTCTCACCAGAGATTGATGGGAAAGGAAATACAGATGTAGGGGGGACACTGGGTGATACCCTAGGGTCAAGGTGGCTTCCATGAGCCCAGCAGGGACAATGCAGGCAGCACAGGAAGCTGCCACCATCTCCTTCCAGGTGCCAGCGGTAGGAGTGCTGGCTGGCCACATCTGCAGACCAGGAGCCCTGAGGTGGGCTTTTTCTCAGGAACTGAGATTCCAGAAGGTTCTCATTTCCTTTCATCACTTAGGGCCCTGCTTAAATAGCACATCCTTGAGGAAGTGTTCCTGTCATCCCACTGCCCCCAGATTAGACAGGCAGAGCTACGGACACGAGGCTGACCTTCTGCCATACCTGGCACAGAGTCGGGAGCCAATGGACGCAACTGTGTAACCTAAGGATAGGAAGCTACCAGATGCCTTCAGTTACCTAGAAATCCGGAGGACTGACTTTGGATGGCGATGTGTCCTCAGGAGCAAGCAAGCAAGCAAGCAAGCAAGCAAGCAAGAAAGAAAGAAAGAAAGAAAGAAAGAAAGAGAGAAAGAAAGGGAGAGAGAGAGAGAGAAAGAAAGAAAGGAAGGAAGGAAGGAAGGAAGGAAGGAAGGAAGGAAGGAAGGAAGGAAGAAAAAAGGAAAGAAGGAAGAAGAAATGTGCTGTCCTCCAGTGTCTTTTTCTATGGCCTGGGGACCACACCCGCCTCTAGCTCTGCAGTTTCTCCATCTCTGGGGTACTGGCTGTTAGCAACAGGGATTACTCAGGGCTGCAATGCAGCAGGTGCTCTCGTGTTCTTGCTCCTAGATGACCACATTTTTTTTTGTCATCTTGTCAGCTTTTTGAAACTTTTCCTGTCCCTTCTCTTCCTGTCAAAGTATCAGTTGTCACTTCTCGCTCCGATCACAGTGTGGCCGGAAGAGTCCCTGTCCCAGAATCATAATGTGACAGTTCTAATGGAGTCTTTAAAATGATGTCACTGGACTTGGAAAAAGAAAGAAAGAAAGAAACTGTCTGGGAGCCAGGTGCACGCATGCCTGTAATCCCTGCATCGGGGGTGGGGGTGGGGCAAGAAAAGAGGATCTCTAGTACAAGGCAGCCAGGACACAGCGAGAAATGGAGATGAGGGGTGTGTGTGTGTGTGTGTGTGTGTGTGTGTGTGTGTGTGTGTGTGTGAAGTAGGAGTACCCTGAGTCAAACATTTGGCCATAATTACTGCTCATTCCCCTTCTTCCCTTGATAGTTCCTCATCACTTGGGACCAGAGTGACAGACAGGGTTTTTGATTTCTCTGTGCCTGTTTCCTACCAGTAGGTAGCCATGACAACACCCGCCTCAAACTGCTGCATTAAATGAGTGGGTGATGTGGCATCAAGGTTCTTTAGAATTCTTCTTTTCGCGGGTGACACACACCTTTAATCCCAGAGACAGAGACTGGGGGATCCCTGGGAGTTCCAGGACAGCGGGTGCTGTTACACAGAGAAACCCTGTCTTAAAAAACCAAACCAAATCAACCAACCAACCAAACAAACAAACACCTCTTCTCTTCCCCCAGTGTGTTCCCTTTGTAGACCTGTGGTGCCTACCACTGCTCCACATAACCAAGGTCAGCAGAATTGGAGAGTGTATGCTGGGGGTGGGGCTGTATGGTCCTTGTGGGAGACACAGTTGCTTAGGGCAAGCATCCCTGCCAAGAACCTGCTCTCCCCACTCCTTCCTACTCCTTTCAGGACTTGTATTTAAAGTCGAGGCCACATAATCCACATTCACATCTGTACTTGGTTTATGTTGCCTCTGTCATAAAATCCTAAGATTTGCTGCAAAAGTCTGTGATTCTGAGCATCTTAGTCTTCCAAAATCTCAGTTTTCCTCTCTCAAACTCTAGCCTGAGCATGACTCCTGCACGGGGTGGCTGGGAGAACTGAATGGAATGATGCATGCAGAGCTGCCTGGCGTAAAGTCGGGGTCCAGTCGACGGTAGCTATTGAGGAAGTCATATGTCTTGGGGAGCTCCTGGGAAAACAAGACAGTAAGGGAGCCACCCGCCAAGCAGGAAAGTGTGACTAGAGTTCCGACTAATTGCTCCAAAATCCCATCCAAATTGATCAATTTATCAAAATGACAGGCCCATTTGCCTGATGGTTATACTTATTACATTTATTCACTTCAAAGCTGATAGCATGACTTCTCCATTTTTCAGAATGTTTACCATCTATTTTTGTCATGGCAGGGCTTTCCGTGCTCAGATGAATTGACTTTTTTTTTTAAATTGGACAAAACAGAAAACGAACCAGCGTTTGCAACTAGATGGATGCTTCCAAGGGGCTCAATCCTGACACTTCACAGCAGCTTCAGAGAGGGTTCCTCAGAGAATAGGCGCCTGGCCACAGCCACATGGGGAAGTAGAGGTTTTCCAATATCTGGAGAGCCGAAGCTCTCAAACCCAGGGGTAGGCACTGGCTTCCGGCCTCACTCCCCACCCCTCTGGACAGCCACTGAGTCAGGAGGAGACTGCTGTTGATTCCCTAAGAAGCTGCCTTGTGGAGACTTGGAGAGGGGCTAGGGCTCTGATCACGTGGATCAGGGGAGTGGCTCAGTTCAGAGGCACAGGGCAGGGTCTAAGGCACCCAGCCAGTGGCAGCTCAGGGCCACACCCCCTTTCATGATCTACAAGTAAAGCTGAAAAGGTGAGGAGAAAAGCCCAAAGTCTTGACTCTCAGCTTCCCACAGGCCACCTCTGCTTTCCAACTGGGAGAGCCTGGTGTCTCGCCTAAGTTTCCCGGGGTTCAGCTTCCTCACCTGTAAAGTGGGAATTTAAGCTAAATTTACCTTGCTGGGACCTAAGGAGTATATAATGTAAAAGTATCTAGGACAGTGAGGGTCACAGCGTAGGCATTTCACAAACGTTCTTATGTCCTCTCTTCCAACTCACTCCCTAGGGAGGAAGCCAGGTGCTGGAACCAGACTTGGCTGGCCAGGTAAGGTGGAGGCTTTTCCTTCCGGGAGCCGCCACACTATCCGCCCTCTACGCCAGCCCCAACGCTCTCGCTGCCCATTTGCTGCCTACGCCGCTGCATCCCTATTAGGAGCATTAGCCAGCCCGGAGGCTCCGGTTACAGACGTCTGAATGACAAAGTGCCTCCATTACCGGCGCGGCCCGCCAGCAGACTCGCCGGGATGCGCTCTGGTTTCAGCACTCTGTCAGCGGCGCAGGAAGAGGCTCGGACCGCTGAACTGGCTCATACCGAACAATCTGCGGCGGAGGTGGAAAGTAGAGAGCACTGGGAGCTCAGGTCGGAAGGTTCTGTGCCCCGTCCACCTTGCTGAGTCCTCAAGGCCCCCCTCTCCTCCCCTGTGCGCCTTTTCTGAACTCAGGGATGTCCTCCTGCCGGGGTCCAGAGGCCACGCCCTCACCTCTCCAAGATCAGAAACACACAGCGCCTGAGGCATCCTTAACCGGGGAAACTAGTCAACAAACACCCGTGCAGCCACTCCCAAATCCCCCGGAGGAAGCCACAGGTACTAACTGACAGCTCCGGGGAACCAGGCTTGAGCTTTGAGGATGAAACCGGAGCTTGAAGAGGTTCTCTAGCCTCTCGCTTCCATATTCCACTTCTGTCTATCCTTTGGATGGTGTCACCCCCATCTCTGCTGTGAAACGAAGCTGACCCCCCCCCCCCCGCGCAGCTGCACCCTTGAGTAGAGAGAGCACTGAGCTGGAATGAGGTGAGGGGTCATCCGTCCACAGGACCCTGGCCCAACTTGCTTGCGAGATCTTGGCCAACTTGTTTAACTCAAAAGTCTCTGCCTCCCTTATCAGTAAGATGAAGATTTGGGGGCACAGTGCTAGATGAAGAAAAAGATGGAGGGAATAGTGAGGACGCCACTTTTATTGCCAACCTTTCCTGAGATCTGATAAGAAATACCCAGAGTACTCGGGTTCTTAGCAAGACTTGATGACCTAGCTGGAGTTGGTGCCTCTGAACAACAATCCGACAGAATCCGAGACATCCAAGCGGCCCCTGCCTCATTTGAGAAGGGTTCATTGACTTTTATCGAAAGCCTAGCCAGATGTAGGAGGAATGACGACCCTATTAAGTTCTGGACCGGAAGGAGCGCGAAGGGCGCAGGACCGGGGGCTGCTTAACTTAAAAGGGGTGCAGTGAGTAGCCCAGGCGCGCACGCAGCTGCAAAAGGCAATCCTGCACCTTGCAGTGCCCCCTGCGGGTCGCCTGGAGTTGTGCATTCCCGGAGCTGTGCTTTGCGGGTACCGCCTTGAGCGTCCCAGCGCTACTCATCCCGAGACCTGGCGGGCATCAGATAGGGTAGGGGGATACGGGCTCTGTCTCTCTGGGTCCACTGCATTGCCTCAAACCGTATGAAAAGCCCTGCCAAGGATCCACTCTGGGAGCGAATTTGCCCCAGTGAAGCGATGCTGCCTTCCCAGCCTAGGATGCCCAGATGCAATTCCCGGACTGGGCGAGGCCGCGAGAAAAAACGCTAGAACCCACGCGGGAAACGTCTGTCTGTCTTTGCTGTCCTCATCCCACTGTCCTTGAGTAGGCAGGCGGGGCCCCGAGCACTTTATGATACGCACCGCTTTCCATCTCTCTACCTCTTTGGTGGCAGTCTCTTTTCTGCCCTCCTTTAAGCCTACTTCTCGCTCTTCAACCTCTCTGCCACTCCCGAATCACTCCTTTCGACGCCCCTCCCCCCCATTGTCTGGCCGGTCCCCATTGTCCATACCCGGTCCCCTCTGCCTCCAGTCCCTTCAGCCGCCTCCCCCATTGTTCCGTCTGCTAGCCCCTCACATCTCTAGCGCCGATCTCACCCCCCTCCTTTCTCTCCTCGGTTCTGTCCTACAACTCCCCAAGGACTAAGATGCTAAAGGGAAAAGTCCTCTCCGGATCCCAGAATTCACACGCCGTCGTCAAAAGAACCCAGGCGCCAGTGACTCCCAAACCTCCTCCCGAGAGACCCCTCCCAGTCCCCTACAACGTCCCCACCGTAGTACCCAAGGACCAGCAGCACTAAGGATCAGTCAGCATCGGTGTCACAGTCCTGTCCGCATCTCTATCCTGGGACTGGGTCGCCTCTGCGCTCTGAAAGTCCCAAAAGCTAGAAGCGCCCCTGTGGGTCACGGCACTGCAGCTCCTCCGCCACCCGTTCCCAGCATCTGGGACCTTGACGCCCTATTCTGTTCCCTGGGTGGTGGCACTCGGATCCCCTTGGGGTTCGGCTCCTGAAAAAGGTTAACAGGCGTCCCTCCCGCTACCACTTACCCCTAGAAGCAGCAGCAGCAGCAGGCGCGACTGGTCCATGGCGCTGCAGTCAGCACCTGCCCTCATCATTCGCCTCCGGCGACAGCGCTTCGCTTCTAGCTCAGTCCGCTCTGCCGGCCGAAGGGTTGCGCTGAGCTGCGCTGCGCTCCAGCGCCCGCTGCCCGCCGAAGCAGACCGAGGCTCCACTCACTCTGGCTGCGTGCGGGCGGGAGCAGCTGGGTAAAGGCAGTGCAGCAGCCCCGCCTCCTCCCCGCCCAGCCCGCCCAACTACCCCCCTCATCCCTCCGGAACCGCGCCCGCCCAGCCGCTGGGCCGCATCGGGGTGGGGAGTCCGGAGCAGCCAAGGGAAGGCGTGCGGGGAGCCACGCCCGTGTGCCCCGCTGCGGCTACTCTGCGGGCTGTCTGTCCCACGTACTCAGTGCACTGCGGGTTATGCTGAGCATCAGTGTCGGATGCTGTGGATCCAGCGGGGGCTATTGCTCTCCTACTGATGAGGCCTGCCTCAGGGTTCACTCTTTAAAACATCTTCCTCAGCCTCTTGATTCCTGGTTCCCTACCCACCCCTCATTCCCGGAATGCTGCTGCCTTCCTTTTATGATTAAGTCTACACCGAATTCCGTCCTGTCCCCTCTACTGCTTCCCACTTGTGGAGCGCGGGGTTCCTTGGGACATTCAAGGAGGAATCCATCCCAATATCACAATTTGGGCTCTCTCTCTCTCTCTCTCTCTCTCTCTCACACACACACACACACACACACACACACACACACACACACACACGGGATTGAACCTAGGACCTCACACATGCCAAGCAAATATCCTATCACTGAATATCTCCAGCCTTTCAAAACCACAAGCTCAAAGAAGTCACAACTGTGCACACAAAAGCCAGGAATACACAGACGCACTCCCGAGCTCACCTGTACATGTGCTCATGCACTCACAGCTGCCATACCATCTTCACACATTTGCACGATCCCACTCATCCTACAAGGATCCCTAATACAGATCAGACATACATCTACGCACACACGGTGTGGCATTCGCATACACCCCCACACATTCACATGTGTGTAGTGCACAACCATACTCAAACAAGCCCTCATCGGTACTGAGCACTCAAGTGAGTGTACAAACCATACACAAACACTGTTATCTGAACTCCAGAGCTTCCTAAGACAGGAACAGTAGTGTCTTCTCCGAATGCCTGCTGCAGTAGGTTTTCAGTAACGCTACCTCCGTAGAGGGGATTCAGTGGGAAAGTGGTTGAATGGACTCAAGAGGCTCATTCCATCCATGTCCCGTGTAGGCATTCTGAGATTCTGCAAACCCGGCACATCAAATCGCTTGCACACCAGGGAATGTGCAGTCAGTCTTTCAAGAGAAACATCACCCGGCCCTTTTCTGGTGCCCTGCCTGGTTCAGAGCTGTGGAGGGGACAAATCTGAAAAGCCTATTCCAGATGTTAGCTATGTCTGGACTCCAGTTTCCTCTTTGAAAATATGGTCCCCAATAATGGGAACAAGGGACAGACCAAGAGCACTTGTAAAGATTTCCTAGACCACTTAAACTTAATTCATCCGTACACCGCAGAGGAAAACAAAACAAAATAAAACTATCCTTTGTAACCAATGAAGTCCAGCAGCCTTCCCCGGGACATCATTGAGGCTTTGAGCATCCACATTCAGGAACCAGGGCTGGATGTCTAGGCAGCAAGCAGGACCTCAGAAGTCTCTGAGGACCTGCCCCTTCCTCCTGGACAGAGATGGCTTCTAAGATGTCCCCTCCCCCATGGCTTTTACAGATCTGCCTTGCTCTCCACTGAATTCATGGGAGGCAGGAAGGAGAAGCATTAGTACTTCCAGAAGCATTGAGCTAGCTGCGTCCTACCCGCCTATTGACAGTGTGGCATTAATTTAAATACTCCCGTTACTAATTTATGATCCCAGTTACTATTATTGCCAAGGTTATCCATCTCAACACAATTTAATATGACCCACACCACCATGGCTGGGCCTGGGTTATTAATAATTTCCATGGTCTTGATCATTCAAGCCTTACTCCAACAATTACAAACAGCCATCGTTACTATTATTAGCAGTATTTTCTATGATTAAGCTGGAAGCGCAGGCCTGAGATGTATTGCTGAGTGCCGGCAGCGAGAGTGGCTGCAAAGGGTGCAAGGGAGAAGCGTGGCTTTGGGAGTCAGGTAGGCCTAAGTGAGCAGGCCCGCCTCCTTCCTCCGGCATTACCTCAGGAAGGCTACACCATCTCTCCTGGCCTCTGCGTTCTCGTTTACAAGGTGGGGCTTTTGAGGAAAGACCGCAAGGATCAAATGGAGCAATGCAGTGTCCACCAAAGGAGGGCCTCGGTCCTCTCTCGGTCACTCAGTGTGTATTTATGGAGCACTTGCTTTGGAACACTTGCTACTGGCTGCACAGGCTCCTGGGCACTGGATATTCAACAGTGGACAAAAGCCACTGTGGAACAGATGGTCTAGATCAGCGGCTCTCAACCTGGGAGTTGCGACCCTTTGTGGGTGGAACGACCCCTTCACAGGGGTCACCTAAGACTATCGGAAATAGCAGATATTTATGCTACAATGTGTAAACGGTAGCAAAATTACAGTTATGAAGTAGCAAAAATGCTTTTGTGGTTTGAGGTCACCACTACATAAGAAATGGTATTACAGGGTCAACGCATTAGAAAGGTTGAGAACCACGGCTCTAGATAGAGCATAGTTATTTGGTGTATGGGTTATTTTGTTATGTGACACCAGCTTGACCACACTATCAGTAGCACAACTGTGATCAGAATGTTCCTTTGTTGAGGTACCCCATCACCAAGACCACAAACACCTACCCCCATACCAGTGCATACCACTATGACCACCACTATCATAACCACCACCATCTCCATCACCACCACAGTTTACGCCATAACAGCTGTCTCCGGGAATCCTAGCACTGCCATGGTCTTCTTGCCCCACATCCCCCAAGTCATCATGACCTTGACCATGGTGAGAGTTAGCCTGCATTAGTCAACTCAACTAGATTTAGAAAGACTGAGGCGCATCCCTGGCTGTTTCTGTGAGGGGTTTTTTTCCCAGAAAACTTTAACTGAGGAAGGTAGGAAGCCACCATAAACGCGGTGGCATCTCATGGTAGGGGTCCCACACTGAGTTCGAAGGAAACCCAGGGAAGCACCTGCATTCCTGGTTCCTGCTGTGATGTGAGCAGCCCCCTCATGTTTCCGCTTCTGCGCCGTGGTGGCTTGAACGAGACGTCCCTCACAAGCCTCAGGTGTTTCAGTACTTAGGGACTTTTAGGTGTTTTAGGTCCTCAGTCGGAGGCTGTTTGGGGAGGATTAAGAGGTGCAGCCATGTTAGAGGAGGTATGTCACTGGGGATGGGTTAGGACTCCAAAAACCTTCCATCATGCTCATCAGTGCGCCCTCCCTGCTCCCTGTTTGTGTATCTGAACCGTGAGTTCTCAGCTACCGCCCCAGCATCGTGCCATGCCTGACCGCCCGCTGCCATGCTCCCCACTGAGACGATGCTGGACTCCTCACCCTCTGGGACGATAAGGCTCCCATAAACCCTTCCTTCTAGATGTTGCCTTGATCATGGTCCTTCTTAATTTGCTTTGTTAGAAAAGTAACTGATTAGCCATCGTCACCGTCATCCATCACAGACAATCTTACCAAATCCAGTACTATATGAACACCGCCGCCCACACTCATGACCATTGCCTTGACCGTCATAGAACCACCTCTACAGACTCTAGTGCCACTGTGACCATTACCAACACTTATCCCTTAGAGCCATAGCCTGCCTGAACCAAACTCCTATGTGACCGTGACTCCTGGCCCCAAACTAAGTAGTCTTCACCTGTAAGTGGTCCTGTCCCAGAGTCCACATGACATACTTTCTTCTCAGCCCTCCTTTCCTGGTCCCTGAGAGCTGGGGCATGGGAGAGACGACTATGAAGAGATGGCCAGCTTGGCAGCACCAAGGGGGCGATAGTTTTCCCGCAGGGTCTTCTAGAGCTGCCTCCTGCGATAAAGCTGCTGCATTGCTTTACAGTGGCAAAGGACTCAGCACGGCTCCACGTGCCCACGTGCTGCAGCTGTGAGCCAACCTGAAGCCACAAACTCCTTCCTTGCAGACACTGAGCATGCCCAGTTCCAGAGCCTTTCTGTAGGCCAGGAGATGCGCACAACTATCTCCCATGCTCCATTTGCCATCTTGGGAAGGCACCCCTGGAATCACTTTATAGGTGAAGTGTCTGAGACTTGAAGAGGTGAAGCCACCTGCCTCAGGAGGAAGTAGTGGCGCTATTGCTCAGAGTTTCTGCTCTGCACAGAGCACCACACGGTCACACCCTTCCCCACTAACATCCTGATCCCAGGTTACTCCTCCCCTCCATCCCGTCTTCCCAGCCTTTACCCTCTAGACAGCTGCTAGGGGGCCTGGGAGAAAGGACCTCCATCTCAGAGGGACTGAGTCCTTATCTCCAGGTCCCTGGCTGCTCCCTCTTGGTGTGCACAGTACAATACAGGCTTAGAGGCTTAGTGTGACGGACATTAGAGGGGCACACAGTGCCAGAGAGGAGGGGTGCCAACTCCCACCTTCCTTGACCCAAGAGGATGAATTCCTTCTGACTCTTCAGTCCTATGTCTGACCAGAGATGGGGTGGTGGGAGGTGGACCAGGGAAAGGAAAAGAAGAAGAGCTAGGCCTTTCTAGCAAAGAGCATCTACCCTGGGCAGGGCAGGCAGTCAGGCAAGGTAAGTGAAACTCCTGCCCCCCTGAGGAGCTGGCCTTGAGACACAAGGGTGGAGCCTATTTGATGAGGGGACAGTGGGGTCTGGAGACTGCTTTGGGATGATTGAGTTCTGATTCTAGCTTAATTTGGTAGTAAGGGAAATGGGGAGAGACAGCAATTTTGGAGTCCAGTTAGATTAACTTGAGCATCACAATGGACCTTTTCCACAGTGCACTTCCTTCTCCACTGCCTGTTCAAGCATGGAAGCTACTGCTGTCTCCCCGCCTGAGCTTTGCTCTGTAGCAAACACATCTAACCCACATTCACCAGCCTTTGCTGCCCGTGAGCCCGACATAGGCTGTCCCAAGAGCACTGCTGGCAGCTCTTCCTTTAACAGGATAGTTAAATTGGGCAAAGGCTTCTAGACTGAGCACTTTTCCT